TCCATCTTTGCGATATTCGGGCCGCATTAACGTTTTGGCCGGGTAACAAATTCGTTTCGGTAAAAGTTTTACCATTTTAAAACCAAATTTAATGTTGGCTCTTTGTTCGAAGCTCATTTCGCACCGATGCAAAAACATACTGACACTTAAAACGCAATAATCTTACTCCAATATATAAATGTCATGAAATTTTTACTGGAAATCGAAAAGGATAGCAGATTCTAACGCCCTAGTCGACATATAGATGGCGCCAAGAGATTTACTTTGTTACTTTTTACTGTTTACTTTGGAACGCACCTTGTATAATAAATTCGATCGCCTGGATGGCTTTTCCAAATCATCTCAATATATTATATTAAATGTAGCCTCTTCAGTTATGTTTTATCACTTATAACTCATTTGAAATGATTTAAGTAATTTTATCTGACGCAAAATAGCATAAGCAAAAACTAAGTGAGTCCGAAACCTATAATAAAACTTAATAAATACAATTTTAATTGTAATGCATTGACGATTTCGTCGTTAAAAATGTTGAACCGCAACATTCTTTTCCTGCCCACCGCTCCTCTTGGCGGAGAAGCTCTTTAATGGTATGGAGACCAACCACAACGCTCTAGTTTATTTCTACACCCTGACCAGGCACCCAGATGTGGTGTACTTGGTTACGATGATGGGCTACTCAGCCGTTCTATACATTCCTGCATCTATAGCGTACTCTCTAAGTGAGATCGCTTTAAGTGCCGCTTGACTATCGCTTAGTATGGCGCTACTTTCATTTCGATGTTTGCGTTGAAGTTTATCTCTACACACGTCTAATAGCATGTTTCGCTTGGAAATGCTCGGAAAACGTTCCAAAGCTACGGAAAGTTTAACACGCGGTCCTGCAACGCTTTTAATAATGCCTTCCAACGTTTTCGAGCTGTCAGTGTACCAATTATGCTGTCCCTTAGTAGTCAAGGTGTGAGGCTCTCCATCAACTTTATTTCCTTGTGAAGTTTCCCTTTCGAAATACTATTCCTCTGGAAAAGAGCCAGTGCTTCATCACAAGGCCTTTATTTGTTGGGAGATTATCTTCCCTCTGCCATAGCCTTCTGTTGTTATCTAAAGCATTGTATGTTTATTCGTTTGCTTGATTAGTAGATGAAGCGATGTTATGTGAACTTTATCGGCAACATGTTGAAAATGGTTTCTCTATATTTGGTTAAAATTAAATTTTACCGAAAGGAGTCTTCGTTAGTTTCTAACCAGAACATGAAATGACAGCAGTCAGCTGTAAAATCTATAAGCATAGAAGGAGTTCAGACGGAGATCTTTAGTCGCTCATTACCGTTCTTTATTAAGCATATTTGTTCTATATATCATTATTACATACTAAAAGGTTAAAAACATTTACATATCCGAACATAAAATTTGAAACCGAGCTCTGTTGCAACCGTGTAAGAATTCACAATGAAAAGGAATGCCGAATTGCGTAGAAACGAGCTGTTACGGAAAATAAGAAAACGTGCCACCCAAACACTTATACTCACTATATTTAGTCTTGCCATGAGTTCTGTTACAAGTGCGGACCAATATAAAATTAAAATATAAAACATTTTTATAGAGGTAATTTTATTTAATAATGCATAAATGAAATAAGGATATACAAATTTTTTCGAAATACGTACCTTTGTTTCATCTTCCTATTTTTGTCAAGCGCGTTGTCAGAAGATAACCAGTTGACGACAGATTTCATGGAGATCCTCCAATAAGTCTTGAAATTAATCTGGTGGATATATTCATTTAAAATGATTTTCAGGGATTTGAATATCAAATATGATATTATACATGTTGATATAGGTAAATATGCGGCATATTTCTAAGGACTTAAGTAACTTATAATGACAAACTGAAATATATGAGTGGACGCAAAGAAATAACATAGTCATAATAATTCTATATTCAATAAAGCAAAGTTATCAAGTCATACGTCATAATAATTTATTTAAACAATAAAGCAAAATTTATCATTGTATGATGTTTTCTCTAATTTAGGTATAAATTTATTTAATCACAAATTTTATTTACGTTTTATATTTCTAAATAAATTATGTTGAAGTTGCAATGTCATTATAGTATAAAATATGGTAAGATACCAGCTAGTGTTTGTATTTCAGCATGTAGCGATGAAAATATGTACAATATTTTATTATAACACTTTACATAAAAATTAATATATTATTATATAGTTCTATGTTTAGTTTTGAATATATAGACTTCTTAAATAAATTATTTGTTAAAGTTCCAATATCTTTTAATATAATATACGGTAGATATATTCCTTATCTTAAGTATAGTTTCAAATTAGCTTACGCAACCCTGTTACGCAATGCTTTGAATATTTTGACATGGACGGAATTATTTTACAAAAGTGAGTTGTTCTTGAGTATTATTATTAATATAATTATTATTTTGCATACATTTATAAACATTATCTTTAGGCTCGTTGAATTGAGCATTTTGTGGATCCCTTTATTTGAAGGTTGTTAATTCTTACATTTTCTGTGGTGAATTTTTATTAATTTACCACAGTTAAAATGAGGCAAAAATATATCTTAGTTAATATATATGTTTCCAATATAGTCGCTCTTTTAAGAACATATATTAAAATAAACTGGTTTTATTTTGACAAAATACTAAAGTTTTAGATATAACCAATATATTTGGGACAAGTTTTCATAAATGAAAAGAAAATAGTAGTATGCAACAATTTTCCGGTCAAAAGTCGGCATTTGAATTCAATAGAAACTCAACCCTAGGCGGACTTGATTTCTCCAAGGACACCAGTCAGTGTCGCTTTGTTTACATCTGATCAGCTGATAGTTCTCTACTCCCCTTTACGATGCTCTACACTCTTTTGTTAACAAGCGGAAGAAGCACTGGAGTGATTATTATATAATATATGAGCAAAGAATAACGGCACTTGCTGTGTTATCTGAATCGGATCATACTTAACTATTGACACATCGTTTTGTAATATTTTATCTCGACTAATTATATGCTCTCAACTTATGTGGCAGTTCATACTTGCTGAGCAATTGTGCTGCATGTGAACGAGGTCTTGAAGAAAGTCCAGAAGTGAAAGGGCGGTTTCTGATGTGGGAGACGATTTACTCTTCTTAATAAAATGTTCTCACAAAATTATGGATTTATTTCTTCTTCAAAACCGTCGATTCAACAGTCCCATCACTCGGTGAGACATTATGTAACTTCAATTATGTAAAATGTATGTGATATTACTCAATTAGCTATGTTTTGTAGAAAAAACTTATATATTTATTTCCAAAAATAATGCGGCTACATATATATACACAAAATATGCATTATTATCTGCTGGTTGATATGATTAGGTTTATAAATAGTATTTTACTTATCATTATTCATTAGAGCTTGTGTTTCTTTAGCTAAATAGCGCATTTCTATGTACTACATTTCCTGTTCCTTTAAATAAAATAATAATATAAAATAATCAGTTGTTTTCCAGTTATGTAATTTATTTTTAGCTAGTCTTACTAATACCGAACTACCGAAATCTATAATATAGTTATACATAGCAATACGTACTGAACGAAGTACAACAAGCTTTGAATAGTTGCAAGAGCGCTCGGTTTCAAATGAATTCGATCGCAAATTTGAGTTCTGTTATCTATTTTTGTATGTAATATGCAAATATGTATGCATAGAATAATAGAAATATTTTCAAAAATTGTAAATAAGGAGAAAATTAAGATATAGATTATGGAGTAAAGAAATTATGAATTTTTAATACGGAGTAAAGAAATTATGAGTTTTTAATACTTTAAGATTAGCAAATTCCTATTATAAATTTGGCCTTGAAAATATTAGTAGCGGATATTCAATACATTCTTGTGGATTAGGGAATTCCCGTCTTTAGTATTTGAAACTATTTAGCGGGTAGGTACTTGTATTAAGCATATTGTTCTACCATATTCATGGTAATTCATTGCAAGCAAAATGTGTGACCATCATCTCAACATACAAATGAAATACGCAGCACGCAGTGTTGCGCAGTCGAACCGCACAAATATTTACGAAAATTTTGTGAAAAGGAATGCAGAAAAACTAGACTCGAGTTGCTGGACTCTTTTTGACCGTGTGAATGCCCAGAGCGACACCAAAAAAAAATTTGAAAAACATCAGAATCTTTTGAATCCCAATGTGAAACGGCACTATATAAACAATTCGTAATCTTATATATATATACTCGTATAAAAGAGAGTCGTGTTAGTTACAATATTTATAACTCAAGAACGGTTTAATCGATTTGTCTGAAAATTGGTGGGGATATAGCTTAGAATCGTCTATCTTAAATGATTTGCCACTATTGAATGAAAATAAAAACATAAATTATCTAGATATACTCGGAATGACATCACATAATCTTCGGTTGAGAATTATTAAGAGTAATTTCAATTCACCTCAATTATGCAACAGTACACGTTTGGTAAATAAAAAGAATAAAAGAAATATTATAGTACCAACCATTTTGACAGGAAAATTAAAATGGAGAAATGGTCCCCTTGCCACATTTTCCAATGATACCGTCAGTTATTGTTAAAAATTACGAATGATCTAGACTAGAGGACCCCGTCCACGCATTGCTGTGGCTAAGGTATACATTAATTATAAACTATTCTTGCTGATTGTATTTATATATAAAAACGAATACGTTATTTGCGGTGTAAGAATAACCACGCGGATCACTTCCAAATTAAACACAAATAGCCACAGCAACGCGTGGACGGGGTATTCTAGTCTAATTATACAAGTAATAAAGTTTTATCGGTCTCATGAATTTTTGTGGAATACAGGCGAAATTATTTGTAAATTAAATAATTTGCAAATTTATTTAAGTTCGAGAGAAGTTTTGAAAATCAATTTTATCAAACATGGCTTGAAACCATGATCATATCTGTTACTAAGCAAACACTTCACCCATCATCTGTGTTGTTTGATATATTTTTTATTTATCAAGTTTTGATAATTCACGAAGAATACGTATTATTGGCTATTTGTTTGGTTAGCCACCTGTTACTTAAAATAGTTTGTTTGGTTATTGCTATGGTTACCTATAAGTTACAGAAAGCTGGTTCTTAGGTTATTTTTTTGGTTATTCATTGGTTACAGAGAACTGGTGCACCGGTTACCTCGTCACTAGCTATGGGTTATTTGTTTGGTTATTAATTAGTCACCACTGTATTGCTTACCTTCTAAATAAAAAATTGAAATCCCTATTGTTTTTTAAATATTTTTTTTTTAAATTTACATGTTTATCACTTTCTATTTTTGCAAATTTTTAGTAATTCTTTTAGATTTGCTTTTAAATATACATATGCCATATACATTACAAACTTAATTTTTCTTCTTTCAATAAATTTTTTGCTAACATTTATATATACTGTGACGAACATTGATGATAGAACAAAATCGAACCGACGATAAATTGCCAGAAGCAACGAGACAGCGAATTCGTAGTTGCCAGAATGCTCTAAAGGCGAAGTTTTATTAAAGATGTACTATATAAGGGCTGCCAGATTGTGCAACACACACAGCTCTAGTTAGAGTCTTGTCGAGCAATTGAGACATAAACAAGAAGTTGTAAGCTCGAACAACGAGCAACAAGTGTTAAGTTGTTGGAACTAGAAATAAAGATAAGTGTATAGCCATTAAATTGGGACTCTTTTTTAACAATCCAGTGATCGAACTTAAGAGTAAGTTATAAGGTAGACGATTTATCTAGAAATCCGTTTCAATACATATATGTATTACATTATTATTATTTTTTTGATAAAAAGTTTATATATGGTTTATAGATAGTTAATATTAATTGTTAATATTTTAAATTCATTAATTTGGTACTGAATACTACTAGGGAACTTAAGTTTTATAATTTAAAAACTAAAATGGTGATAGATTGAGAACTTTCCCTCGAAATTTGCAAATATCTAAAAGGAATAAATAAAAATTACAAAAACGGTTAACTAAATATGACTAAATTCTTAAAAATTAGGCTATGAAATGCAAACGACTTTATTAAACACCACAACGAGCTAGAAACAATACTTAACACGGTGGAAATTGACGTATGCTTAATACCTGAGACCCATTTTAGCAAGCAAACTTACATTAAATTCAGAAACTTTGAAATATATCATGCAATACCTCCGAATAATTGTGCACGCGGAGAAGCTATCATTATAATAAGAAGCAATATTAAACACCATGAAAAACCGTAAAAATACAGAAGAATTTCAAGCAATAACTTTAACGATAGATAGCGACAACAACTTATCTCCTACAGCGGTTTATAGTCCCTCAAGACATCAAATAAAATGCAATAGGTATCTAGAACTGATCAATAGCCACAAAAACAGATTTATGGTGGATGGTGACTATAATGTAAAACAAAGGGCACCAAAAAGCTCTTCAATTGATTTGGTGCAGTATAATTTACTGGGATACAAACTTACTGGCCAACAGATCCACTTGGAATACCAGATCTTATTGATTTATTCATTACCAAACATATCTCTTCAAATTATATGTGCATAGAAAGCATTTGGATATGACCTTTGACCATTCACTGATATATTTAACACTACACGAAAGAGTTGTTATTAAGGAACCGCCTTTTACATTAAAAAATAAAAACACTGACTGGAAATACTGTAAGCAAATGCTGTCTGATGTTGATAATGACGTCAAAATAAGCTTTTATATCATTCCGAGTTAGATAAAGAAGTCTTAAATTGGACAAACACAATTCAATATGCAGCCTGAAGTAGTACACCAATTAAAATAAACGTCACACAAGTCATAGTATAGCAAAGAAATCATGTTAGCAGAAAAACGCCAATTACGCCGAAAGTGGCAGCAAATAAGATCTCCATCTGACAAAAGGGTTCTTAACAAAAACGATGGGCACTTGCAATTAAAATACTCACCCTGACCAACAAGTTTTATGAGATAGAAATATTTCCCCGATAACAGAAACCACTATTCATTATTCTGAAATTTTTAAGGGTGTTAGTTTAATGAAAAACGATAGTTGATGTTTTCGCCACCATTTATAATATATCTATTTATTCGCTTCCATACTTTCATGTTCAAGAAAATATACAATTGGTTTGTAGTATGAAATATATGAAATGAAAACTCGTGATTGTAATTTTTTTAAATATCTTGAGAAAATTGCATTTATTGTCGTGCCTTATCTGGTTGTTGAGTCTTTCGAATTATTATTAATTTTTAAATTAAATTAATTTTCTAAAAATTGTACAAGTTGTTGAGCTACTTCCAAAGCAAAATTTACATTAAAATCACCGCTTAAAATCATTCGCATACTGTGCAAATCTTCTCCTAATTCTGCTGCACTAGAGGCAGAGAATGTTAATAAATAGAGAAGGCGCAAATGTTAGTTGAGCTAAAATGTAAATTATTAAAAAAGAACATCGAAAATGCGGAAATTCGAAAATAAAATTACACCACGCCAAAAAGGAATCCTCCCCTCTTTATAAGCAAACTCAAAAAACTAAACCACACTAAGAAGGTACCTAGCAAATTTTCACCACCTTATAAAGGAACGGCTAATATATGTGTGTGCAGATGTTCTTTGGCATGTGTATTAGGGAAAATTAGAGTAACAAAAAGAAATAATAAATTTTGAAGAACATTTATATAATGAGGAAAAATTAAAATTTAATAAAAAAGGTTTATAAAAATTAATTAGTACTTCTTAACATTTGCGCTTTCTCTATTTATTAACATTTTCTTACATGAATTATGCGCTTGCTGATTTACATTGCATATTACCAAAATATCATAATATTTGTAATTTAAAATAATCCTTCAAATTAAATAGGAGGACTATTGGTTAAAGCCCCAGAATTTACAATATAATAAGTAATTAATAGATAAATTCTACAACATATTTTTCTGCGTTTCATGAACATTATCTAATAGGCAAAGGATAACAATAAAACAGTGACAAAGCGGCCGCGATTTGCTTTTCCGGAAGGTTAAGCCATTACGAATACAAACGCTTGCGATCGAATCCTGCAAATCATAAGTCTTATTATATTTATTTTTATTTTATTTTATTATTTAACATTTTAGCTGATCTCAATTCAGTTATCTAAATAGCATATTTTACTCACTGAGATAACTAGAATATTTCAGGAAAATATATTCATATGTTTAGGTTTATTGAATATTGCCTTATTGATGCGAATTTATACAAAATTACTTTTGTCTACACTTTTAGCTTTTTCCGAGAACAGCTAGAACGAAACAAGTTGAACGATCGCAAGCAATGAGGGGTGGGAGGGTGCACTACCACATAATTATTTCAGATCTATTTTTAATAATCGAGTTTATTTTAAAAACGTTTAAATAAGTATGAATTTATGTGTATTGTGATTTTTACGTAAATATTATAATATTCTGTAAATAAACCCTAAGATATCAGTATTTTTCTATACAAATTAAGCAATATAATAATATGATATAAATGCTCCGTTGAAACGCCTCTGTCCATGGTGGCACGCCACGGAAGTAACGGCGAGTTTTCGCGAAGACGGGGCGGAGCAAAAAATTGAGTTCTGACAAAACGTTGAAAAAAACCAAATGACAACTTTGCCGACAAAGTTTCGCCGTTTTGAAAAATCATTTTGTTTCAATCCACAATTTTGCGACAATGTTGTCGCGTTTGTCCTTTTTGCAGTGCTTTGCTATTGAAAATTGACTTATGCTCTTTGAAATACTACGACTGTGCTTAGAACATATAAAAGTAAATAAAGATTTCATATGAATGGCAATTTTATATAAATTTTATAATATAACGTCATATATATTACATAATATGAAATTAATACAATTTTTATATCGCTAATAGGCCATGTTGCCGAATCTCTTTTCTGAAGAGAACATCAGACAAATTCTTCAATTTCTGATTTGAATTTGGTTGACCAGGCCACAGAAAAGAGAGCGCAGTGCAGATTTATAAACGATCGCACTTCGTTTTGTAGCATACGCGCGTTCCTTATGAATGAATTTGTTGGCGTTGTAATAAAAAATATAGGGCGAGCTTGCTCGAATCTTATTGGTCGATGATGGTGCGTCTGCGATTTTTTGTTGCTTGCGCCAATGCTTAATGTTTTACAACTAGCATACTGAGGGACATACATACATATGTATATGCAAATGTATTTGGACAAGCAAATGAAATATATACATACAAATTGATAATTTGTAACAAGTAAACGACAATTGCTGTTTGAGTTCACAGATTAGATCGAATTATATTTGTAGTGTTCGTGGTGTTGCTTGTATAGTACAGCCCTTATTGCAAATTTACATCAAATATATTGCCTGAGTTTAAATCCTATCACAGATGTTGTTTTATTCCTTTTTTAATTTTTATAAACCTTTTTTATTTTAATTTAATTTTAATTTTTCCCTTATTATATAAATGTTCTTCAAAATTTATTATTAGTCTAAAATCCGTCATTTCATGCTCTGGTTAGAAACTAACCAAGACTCCTTCTTTCGGTAAAGTTTACCAGAAAAGACAGATGATTGCTAACTAGATATTGAGAAAACCATTTTTCAACATCTTGCCGATAAAGTTCTGGTTAAGCGCTTAATTGAGAAAACGGTCCTTAACATCTAGAAAAGTTATATAATTTACATACTTTTATTCAGGATCCTTCCACTTTTTATTTGATGGTTAAATTCAATAAATTGTTGTATAAAATGCATATTTGAAACAATACGTCCTACGTCACTAGTAAGTGTTGTAGCCATTTATTCATAATTGGAAATAGTGTGAGCACATCTCCAGGTTTCACGTATACAGTCTAAGTTCCGGGTATAAGACTCTCGTAAATTTTTCTTTCTAGTAACTGGCGCTCCGTCGACTGCACATTGGAGTCACTAACAATAACTTGACCGCCTAGAAGGTACAGAAACACTCTTCATATTTTTTTAATGAAGAGGAACTTCAACGGTGCTAACAAATATATAATAAAATGAGTTATCTCAATAATATTATTTATTTGAGAAATTTTGTTTGTGTACTTGGATACAATCATCAGGCCAACATAATCTCCAAATTTGAGGGAACTTATATGATTCAACCCAGGTTAATACGATCCTTTTGAACATTTATTCCTTTCATTTCACTGTTTTCGAAAATGAAAATATAAGAAATAAAACAATAAAAACGTTTGGTAAGACACAGGCATATAAAGCCGCATTCAAAATTTATATCGGCAGACATTAAAGTAAAACTTTAATAAATAATTTAAATACCAAAGTAAATGGTGATTTCTCTTTTGTTTGAACATATTAAAAAAATTTGTATTTGTACAACCAAGCAAATCAGAATTTCTATCTGCAATTAAATTTAATCAATTCTTTAGAAACAACATAAAATTCAAGTACTTATCTTCTTTATAACCGCCTTTGGATTCTATAAAACAAAATAAAATAATATATTATTTATGTCAATGTATTTTATCATGAGCAATTTTTTGTGCTAACACAGAAGCATACAGCGGCATACGTGGTATTGACAATTGATCGCGAAAAGTTGCATGATTGTTTCTAAAGACCGATGTTTTGTCTGTTATTATGTGCCGAAAAGGTAAGTGTTATGCATATTCGTTGAGTGTTTTGATTTTATTTTTCGATCCAATATTGGTTCATGTTGTATTGAGATTGTGAATATTTTGTTCCTGACGTTTTCAAAATTGCGTCATGGCTGGGTTGTGAACCATCTCGGTGGCTGAGTTATGTATATACCACCCGTATTTCATGCTAGTGTTATCAGAACTTTTAAATATCATTAGTTACATGGAAATAAAGTGCTTTTATGTAATTTTACTCTATTTCTGTTACGTTCATGTTTATTGATTTTAATTTTTACCTATGGCAACTTATAATCAACCTCCGCAACACCAAAAAAGGCTACTGATTCCAAAGAAATGAACTTAAATGCGTTGTTCGACAATTTGTTGAAGAAACTAGTCATACGAGCGGCTGCTCTTCAATCATCCGCACTTCCTATACTCATATTCCTTCGAACATGGTATGGTTGTAACTTTTTTTAATTGTTTTATTTTTAGCGTAAGGCTTCTTATATCTTAGAGTATTATGATGATACAAAATTTTCATTCATTCTGATTGTTAATCCAAAGTAGGGCCATTGCTTTATTACTTTTACAACTTGTACTTTACTTGTTATGCCTCTTAAGTGCTTTAAATAAATGCAATTTTCGTTTTTCATACAAGTAAGAATGTTTCACTTCGATTTTTCCAAATTTGAAACTTACAGTTGAAAAAGTATCCTTAAGGTGAGTTTAAATATTCAACTTATAATCAAGTTTGCATAGCATTCTGAAAATATTCTTGACTCAGAAGGGCCAATGAAGAAGGAAGGGTATGCAGCTGGACATTTTCTTATAAACAACTGAATTTCTGTCTTGGCGTTATCGTATCCGTAGAATCTTCAGCAACACTCGAATGAAATATCAATGAAAATTCGGGTCTTTTAAAAAACTTCAGCCGTTGCTACTAAATTCCGTAGTTTACTAATAAATAAATAATTTAGGAAAATGTATTGAGGCAATCAATACAAGATCACGCAATTTTACCGATAATAGCGGAAATTGTCGTCTCCTCCTGGATCTTTTTCCCACCTATATAGGAAGTGGATGAAAATTGCAGTAAAGAAGCAATTGATTTCAAAATAAAAACTTTTTACGTCATATTTGACGGCGCTATTTGTGGAATGAAGAGAAGATTCACCGCAGTGAGTGATATAAACGCAACTTTTTCATTTCTATAGCAGTTCTATGATATGAAATAAGACGAACTCAGCACAGCTTCAAAACATGTTACAAAAGAGTATTCCGTTGATGTATCTGATAAGTTATTCAATGAAGCTATTCACCTCAGACACGTTAACGACGAAAATTTTAAAACCCGGCCTACTCCATATAACTTATTGAATGCCATCAATGCCATCATAAATATTTGTATCGTTTTGAAAATATTTTCCACTTTACCCGTAAATAATACACTCGATTGCGTTTTTTGCAAGCACAAAAAATTAAAATGGATTTTTCGGCGGTATCCGCTTTGTTTATTAGAATCAAAAAA